TTATGCAAATCAGGATCGAAACGGATTGATCCTAATCCGCCTTGCGTAGAACCGCGGTGCGGATCCGGATCAAAGAATTCGATCCGGAAATCCGGCGGATCAGGATCAGGATTCAAAAGTTGGATCCGGATCCGCCCCATTTCGAGGTCTAGGTACAGGAGCATCAAACGTGCGGGGAAGCCCCGCAAAGCTTTGCCAAGAGCAATCACAAAATGTATATTCCGACGAAGAAATGATCAAACCACAAAAGCGCTTGAGAAACAACAAGGGTACCAAAAGGATATCGGTCAGCGCGCTGGTGCGTCTAATAGCCCGTTTCTAGATTAGCACAGCAGTTTCTTCCACCAATGTGGGAGATATTGGGACCATGTCCGAAATATACCTGCTAATGTCCTCCGCTCGCCAGGTACAATCTCCCCGTTTGCCACAACGTGGATCGCTTCAAGGTAGCGGGACGGCTGTATCGGCAATTATACGAATATGTCTCGCACTAGGAGCACTCACTGTGGCCCGTACCGCGCCGCGCCGTTGTGGCACAACTCTTGTAAGGCGGCACGAAGAAATACGAGCTGATCAGTTAGGGCAGGAAGCTATTCTTGGAATAATATTTGTATAACGCCGCATGGCTGAAACCCCTCAGATGATCATTGAGGCTTAGAGCCGCTTTCGCTTCGATTTTAAGCAAACGTCGTTCTTTTGGTGGGCATTGAGAGCGGTCGTACGAGTAAACGTGCTGCCACATAAGTTGCATGATATTTTGTCGCTTTTGCTATGTCTTTCTCGTTCGTGACGGAGAAGATTGCTGAAAGTTAGGTTCGGCCCTTACAGTCACCCTCCCAGCATAAATTGGCAGTTTGGCGTTTTTTCTTCAATTGCCGGATAAAAGAAATATCTTCAGAGGCCAGCTGGGGATTGATCCCGGTGTTGAAACCGATGCTGCCATGAACTCGTGAATTTGAAGGCTGGTGTGAAAATTGGTAATCAAAATTGTCCCTCTGGCTTTGACACACCACAGTACTGCTTCCTGGTAGGGTGGATACGGAGATAGCTGAGGACCAAGCACCTGAGACTGGCGGGTCGGGAAGGTTTCTTTTCCAATGGCTCACTGAACTTTGAGACTCGTGGCCAAAAGTATGCGTCGGTCGCGAATAGTCTGCCGATACTCTGGTTACCGCGAAGGGTGCATGGAAGTCGGTGAATGAATGACTCCTGTGATACTGTTAGATGGAAACATTCTCATGAAATTTACTCCACTCACATGTTGACTGGTAACCTATATGAGGTTTGAGCATTGTAAGCCAAAGATATTTTTGTGGATAGGACGCTTTTCCCTGTTCCTATTCGACAGAGCGAGATGTTCTTCGCCAGAGATAGACTGGAGAGAGGATACTTACTTCATTAGATGGTTGCACAGAGGCTAGCCCTAGCTTTGTAGTACGTAGAAATTATTCTTGCCCTTCTTGCCCTGGAACTTGGTGGCAGTGCCAAGCTATTAGGAACTGCACGTGACATAGGGGGCTGAAAAGGCAGTAGTGTTTGGCCAGTCGATCTTCGCCACCCGCACTGATACGGCATGCTGATACACTATACTAACCGAATTCGGATGGAGGTGGCCTGCCCAAGAACCCCTCTAACCGCCCCGTGGGTCTTGCGATTCCATCTCGAAGCCTACTGATAGATAGGGTCTAGTGCTTCGAGAGAACAGAGATTATGTTGTGAACCTTGATAGTTGCGAGGGACCCACTCGTATTATTGATGTCTGGTTATGCGCTAGGTAAAGTTGGAAAGCGATCGACAAGAGCGCTCAGGGAGCTAGGAGAAGGTTCTTTTCTCATCGTCGATTGCCGCTGCAACGGCGTCGGCTGGAGCTATTGAGCCTGTTCGCGACATAGCGAGATATATTGCAAAGACTTCAGTAGGGAAGAAGAATGCAGTCGACGATGCGATGTGGCAATTCAAGGTTAAAAATCAAAATAAGAGCGAGGTAGGCTCTGATTCAAGATACTGGTGAAACCGTTGGCTCACTTGAGGCTAATCGCTCGGATAAGCTTTCGGATTCACCATCTTCCCGGTCGTCCCGGACTGAGAAATCGATCTGTCCGGATTATACCAGCACATAGTGGGACGCTCACCGCTCCAGGTAGCAACAAGCTTTTCAAAACATGAATATAGCTCAGGCTGTTAAACGTCGGAAGCGGACGGAAACCTCCGTTTAGTCATGGCAGACCTGCCTCTGAACGCTAGTGCTAAAGACGGGTGTAAAGACCCTCTCGCCATTCATAGACCTAGCATTTCTTGCCCTTCATACACCATTCTTTTATTTTACAATTCTGCGGTCAGGCAGTAGCTGTGGATTACCTTACGAATACTGCATGAAACCGGGTCTATAGATGATCCGTCGGCATAGCTTGTGTAACTAGAATGGACCCATAACGTATTCCACAAGTGAGTGGATCACACAGGCGAGTGGATCACCGCAAAACACATAGTAAATGCGATAAATAGGGGTAATGAAAATACAGAGTCATCGATATCTCTAATTGGACGGATACATCTCAGATCGTGACAAGATCCTCAAAATTGTCGATGTGCTTGGACCCCTCACTAGTGCAAGTTGACAAGCTTTCTCTAAGCTTTTAGCTGGAACCCCGCGGAAAATCAGCCGTGGATCTAGGTTTGAACAATCTCGCGGCCCCGCCGCCCAAGGTACGCCATGTGTCTCGAGTTGACAAAAGTCCAAATTTACTATACAACACGGAAGGAAATGGGGGTCAATCTAAAATTAGCACTTGGTAGCGGTAAGTCACCGTCCCACGCCTCTTTCTGATGTCCTGCGCGGAAAATACTCAACATTTCTAGTTCAGCCCCGTGATCTCACCATGGTCAACGACGGTCTTACACTTCAATTAAATCATCCAGCCTCAGTTCATCATATTCCGTCGCGGTTGGAGTAGCTTCTTTTACATACACGTAATTACTTTAACACACGGTAACGGCGTTTTACTTATTTCCGCACGATTTATCCCGCATTTCTAAAGCATTGGCTATTGCCTGGGGCTCCGGGTGAGCATCATCCCGTGTCTCAGAGTTTATTAGTAAGGGGCCGCGAAAAGACCAACCGCCCCTCCCTCCCGGCCAACCACTGGCTCTCGAGATCTGCATAGCCCGCAACACCCGTAGCGATCCCTCTGCCACCGTAATTTCTCTACCCGGCGACCAGTCAGACATCTCTGAGATAAGGATCGACCACGCTCTAGGGCATAAGGAGATCTAGGCTCTTCTGAAACTTTAAGAAGTGGTCCTATTGATGGTAGATTCGCGGGCTGTATTTCTCTTTATTGGAGGGAGATTCGGAAGCTCACATTCCCATTCTGCCTTGATCGAAAGTCACCTTTATAGTACCCAGCTCTCCTAGTACATAGATTAAGGTATCTGAGATTGCAGGAGTTGCAGAAGGTTGTATTGATTGTGCCCTTGTTTTTAGTCCTATCATTGTATAAAGTACTTGCTTCCGACGGCCCCAGAAATGACTGTGGGCGGGGTGATCCGCGGCGAGCCAGGACCACCTTGTGCCGCGCGGTTACTTTGCAGCTGAGATTTGGGGCGGATGTTGTTTGCTTGAGAAAATTGAAGACTCTTGTTAGTATAGAACTGTCGGGCTAAAATCGATTTCTGTTGTCGGTGATCACGTCGCTGGAGATGGTGGGCTGGGCAACGTTCGCAAACCTTCACGGACCACTGCATAACTGGCTTAGTATTCATTGGTTTCGTCCAATGATACAAGAAATAAAAGAATAAATCCATGGCTGGGAGGTAATAAAAAGCCAGGCATTCCACGCTTCCAACTACTAAGCGCGGCACAGTTCATTAGTTCGTATGGGATTTCTCGCGTCCCCCGCTCGCCTTTCGGTTATTTGCGACACTTTGGGAAAGCACTAGGACTAATTCCTTACAGATCCCGGGCCACAAAGGAGGCCAATCGGCGAAAATCCAAGGTTGCATCAACCTCGTCAGGGGCAGTTGGCTGTTTAGATTCGTGGCAGCTATCGGTCGGTCACCGAGCTCAATGCGAGCACAATGGCTAGGCAGGCGAACTCACAAGAAAGCGCATGCACGTAGGATCTCAAAGCAAACTACAATCCGTACACGAGCCATTATGTTCCAAGTCGACAGTCATTGTTTCAAGATCAGCCACCTTATCGGAGCTGTACCACAGCAGCGCGGGGCGAACCACAGGAAGGAACTATAATTGCCGACATACCCGTACGCTATCCAGGAGCGAGCCATATTGGGGTAAAGGGAAATCGTGCCTGGCGAGCCGAAGCTTTGGTATTCAAACTTCAGGACTTAGTCCAACATGTTCGTCACTCACATTGGTGGAATGGACTGCTTTGGAACAGATTATTAGACGCAGCAGCGCGCCGGTCGATATGCAATGGGTGCTCTTCAGTGATTTCGAACGCTTTTTCATTGTTAGATTATTACTTCGTTAGACTGTACGTTTTGTGGTTGCTCAGATTTGCGGGGGCTCTTACCTGCACGTTTAATGGTTCGTACCGATCATTGTGGGCCGGGCCGATCTCTTCCCCTCCCCGGTCCAGTCATATCGCGGAAAAGCCGCCCCCTCTGAGATACGCAAGTCATTCCCAAATCTGGGTGGGCGGATCAGCCGACTATGGATAGTGTGTTCAGAGTGAAACAGCATTAGGTTCTAACGGCCTGGGTCCCGAACTCAATTCGCACGGACGCTGACAAATCATATAGTTCTCATTCCACTTGGTAGGTGTAGGTGTCAAGGTATGTGGTGATATGTACCCTACTATATTGTTGCTAGGCTTGGGTGTCTCGTCCTCTTTCTGAAGCACCAACCAATAGACATGTAGATCGTCCGAGTTGGGCCACCACTGAGTCCTCACTCTCTACCTTCATTGCGCGACACGCCTGGGGCGTCCTGGCTTCCGCCCACTGCCTGGGCTACCCGTGCAAAGAGCATTGAGTTGTTATTTTAGCGTAGCCACTTCCTCTCTGAGCGCCGAGAGCTCTTGGTACCCGCCCTGCATGCTTTCCACGCCTCGTCCCATGTTGTCGTTCCAGAAGTTTTGCTTTTCGAGCTGTTCTTCTATGGACCTAGGTGCCCATTAGCATAAGATGGGTTTGGAGCAAGTATTGCTGAGAGGAAGGCACCTACAGGACTCGGGCGTTCAAGCTAGAAAGAAATTAGCGTCGCTGGTAACTGTAATGAAGAAGAAGTAGTCTTACTCTCCGAGACACCTCAGACACTTGCGCAAAGATACGGGACTACCAGTCTCTCCATGATGCACCGCTTCTGGTACGCGATCTGCCACACTGCTGGTCTCCGCCGCCCAATCAGCATCTGCTTCATCGTCCATGTCTTCACCCATTGGCATATGTCTTTCCCTCGTATAGGACTGCGATTCCATCTCATAAGGGCAGTCTTCATCTTGGGGGCCTGCAGCCGATTCAGGGATGCTCCAGAGGTCGAAAGGCTTGGCTTTGGAAGCAAGTGCATCACGAAGTTGGCTGGAAAACCGACCACGATTCTCTCCGGAACCGGGATGTTGAAGGATACCCATGATCGAGGATATTTGACTTGTTGGAAAATAAGTGAATGATTGACGGAGTGGGTAAATGGGAAGCATAGCCAGGCCTTTCTCCAATGCTAGAAGTCGTGCTTGATTTATAGTCCAGCCAGACAGCTCGGCAGAGCTTTTGGACTAATCCGAGAACTGACGCCGTACCCTGCTCAATAAGTACGCCTTTAGGTTTTGTTTAGAGATATACTCTACGAACGCAGATATTGGACTAGACCGGAATGGCTTACCTAGCCCTAGACTAACAAGCCGCACCCAATATGCGGGCCTAGGGAAGAGCGATGATACTACGTTGAGGGATATTTGAAGGAATTCTAGACCACAAGCCTTTCCTCTTCGTACAAGACGTTTTGGAGCAAGTATTTAAGAAAATGTAACACCAAAGGGATGATTGTCGCCCAATCAGCTGGGACATTTGCCCTTCGTTTAATGACGATGCAAATCTCGTTCGATGCAGATCTCATTCGACGCTGCTCAAATGATTAAGTGCTAGAGATTTACACCAAGCCTATACCTGAAGGTCGAGGCATGGTCATTACCAGGTGAAACTAATTTGTAGGCCGTCGTGTATCTGTGTAACCGTATAATTTCCCCTTATCGAATTCCACATCCCTATCAGCCTCATTAAACCGACTCCACTTGAGTAATTCGAGGTCCAAGTGGGCGTCAAGCCAGTTGCCCGTTTTCTATCTACTATACTATGATCCTACTTGTTTAGCCGAAATAAAAAGAGGGCTTGTTTATTTTTATTTTATTTTATTTTGTTTTATTTTTATTTTTTAGCCTGCATCGAAACACCGATACAAGGTGTCCGGTTATATTGAACGGGTTTTTAATTATTAAACCTCACTTTTTGCGAGCTGTGAGTTCCGCTATGACCATCTGCCCCCCAAATGACGGCTTGTTCAAAGTAGGAATGGTGAGTTGAGTATACATCAGTTATATTCTCGTTGTCTGTCGTTTTCACCCGTCCCTTCCAGTGTTTGTTTTCATGGCGTGATTTTCTAGTTGACGTCCGTTCTTTTCTCTCGCACATACCCCATCTCCCACGATGCCGAAAGAGAAATACCTTCCTTGGACTGAGTCCGAGGAAGATAACCTCGAGCCATGGTTATCTGAATACGATTGGATGCCATGGAAAGAAAGGGCTAAGGAATACTCCAAGCAACACGATAAATGCAGATCGTTTGAGTCGCTCCGAGGCAAACGCAATCAGCTTCGGAAAGGGATTAGAAGACGGCGACCGATCGCAGACAGATCGACTTCACGGGCCCGTACCACGGCCCGTAGGGCTCCGTACCGAGTTCAGAGGCTTCCGCAGGGCTTCCCTCCCCGCCCTCCTACCTTCAGGCTAAAATCTCCCGATCCTTGGGCTCGTAGACTGCTGCAGCAGGTGCATCAATATGGGAATCCACGCCACCAGGCTTCTGCACCGGCCCCGCAGAATAAAGGAAATTCTCAGCCCGCAATTTCACCAAACAATGCCACGCCGGGTAGGTCAATGTATAACCAGCATTAACCTCGCACTGCTAATCACCGACTGCCTCCTCAGTTTACATAAGTTTCAAGCCTGTATTCCGACGATGTAAACAGCCGAGGTTTATTTCACAACTTTGGAAAATGATCCGCCGCATGCACATTTCTCACAGGGACGAGGAACGGTGACGCTCGCAGAGAGGAAAGACGGAAAGTGTCTCATGACGCCTTGTGAGCCGTATTAATATATAATCCTTATATGGCTGTCAACAATAATTCTTAAAAATATTACTATATTTTCTGGGTTAATCAAGTAAAGCATTCATATGATACGGTAATAGTGCTTTCGTGGTACATATGATACATACAGGGTATCTACGGAGCCAACTGCTTAAGGTGGGATAGGTACATTGAAGAGTCGATCTACATGTATACACAGAAATTGTACTTGGATACCAATGTTGGCCAACTATGGAACAGTAACGCTATAGGTTGTCCGCCTCACTCCGCCTATCCTTCAGTGGCCAATCTGCTACTCAAGGCAGATGCGCGTATGGATCGACTTGGGACATGGTGGGCAAGGTGGACGAAGGGTAGCCCGGAATGGGTGGTGCCGGCATATCTGAAGGGTTGAGCAGATAGCTTGCGTCTTGGTCTTGCCAGTTTTGGGCCACGTCAGGGTCAGGCAGGAGAGTGGAAAAGTATGCCTGGTCACTCTCATTGATCTTGGACGTGATCTGGTTGAATAACGACGAAGCGGAGCTCTGGAGGTCCTTCAAGGCCTCTTTGTATTCACCTCGAGGCATTTGATCCTGGGTGGTCGCTGTTTCCAAGCTGTCCTTCAAGGTACGGATTTCAGCCTTCAAGTGGCGACACTCCGACGTAAGCTGGCGGACTTTCGCGAGCAACTGAGCTTTTTCCACGGTAACTTGCTGATGACTCTCCTCCAAGCGGGTGGCGCGCTGCTGATGGTCATCTTCGGCTGCTTCAAGTAACTTGATGCAGTCAACATGGTTTTCCGGGTCTGCGGCATGTGCCTTCTTTATATTGAACGGATGAGTGAGCCAACCACCAAATCAGGACGAGAATTTGACTGGCTTACCAATGTCTCTCGGAACTGAACCTCCCGTGGGACGGGCTTGGATCGCACAGCGCCAGTCGCCGGCAAGTTTCGCACAGCGCGTTTGGCAGACGTTTCGGCCTGTGGCTTTCGAACCCTGGTGGGTGCTTGCGCGGCAGGATTGCGCGACGCGGTTTGCATTTTGGGCATAGTGAGCGATGACTTGACGAATGTCGCAAAAGAAACAAAAGAACCGCACCGCACAGAAGAGAAAGAAAAAAGGTTGGGGCCACATCAGCTGGGGCGGGTAAAGGAAGACTTAAATCCGGTGGCAGTGTGAAAATAACCAAGTTGTTTTACACGAATTATAGTTTCACCGGGGTGTACCACATCCTCAGCACCTCAGTTTCAGCAATGACCAGACGGTGTCAATTCGCCAACCTGCGGGAAAGCATGGAAATAGTGGGGCACAGTCCCAGCTGAGCCTCCCTGTGTAAAACATGGGGGTACTCGTATCCACAATCATGTTTATGATAGGGAAGAGAATTGGACTTGTCAAGCCCCCAATTTTACGGTATACACATTGAACAGAGGCTCAAATGTTCGTCAATGGTCTACTTAGAATTGGGTAAGTAGACATTACTCGCCTAGGTGTTGGCGTACACAGTAGACGACTTGCGAAAGAACGTCTGCTTGGCCCCGGAGCAACAGATGAATAATCAGTTGTAATTCGGATTCTAGTCTCGACACATTGTGAGCCCGCGTGGACCTGGGGGATCAATAGCACTTCGGTCAATATCGGAGCATTGCGAACTAGCAGATGGACAACAACGGACGACGAATGCTATCATAGCCACTTTCATACGCTATTCCCGTGCTCATCGCGAGATAAGGGAAGCCAGTGCAACGATGGGGCCGGAAACTGGATTCCAGACGGCTTGCTCTGTCCGGCCTACTTCGTGTAGTGGATTTGACTGCGATATTGAATTGGGGCGGATTCCGTGGCTTCAGTCTCTCACTGGGGCTTTGTCGCTAAGGATGACCAGAAGAGGAAACCGCAGGACGATGAAAGGAGAAAACCAAAAGCTTAGAGATGCTTAGCCTGGTTTGCCCGAGTTCCGTGGTTTCGCCGGTTACAAACTCTCTATGCTCACAGTCTCGCTTTAGCGTTAGCTGCAATCCGATGGAGGTATTCGTGACTAGCCGTCCCAGGTTTCCCATGGCTGTCTCCACAGCTCTGGGGTGTTATTGGCCCGATAAAGGACACGAGAGCGAACTACAGGTGCGAGCAATATCACAAAAACCTCTCCGTCGATCAATGCGGGATCTGCATCTCCGGTCCGCAAACGGTCGGGTGGGTCTAAAAATCGCGCTATTGAATACCTGTACCACTTGTACGTGTAATATCGCCGATAGGATTATGTCGATTCCAAGAGATACGGTACGCGCTAGTTCTACAACAGACCATTGGTCGGCCTTGATATCATAGAATGAGTGTAAATTCTAGGACAAGCTGATGCTGCGCTATTTAACCAATGCTCATGAAGCGGTGAATGGCTTGGCGAAGTAGCCATTTATACTGTAGCAAATGAGTAAGCAAAAATGGGTGCTGCTAAAACTCGAGTAAGCTAGTACTGTAAGGACCGCTTTTCTTGACACACCCCCTCAGCAGCCATTCTGCTTCTCTTTCATGCCACTTTGTCCTCCACCAAGTGCTTAATGTCGACCAATCCTAGTGTCTGAATGAATTGCGCATGGGACTGTGATGGAAGCAGCTTAGTGAGTCCATCGGCGGCCATTTCGGCTGTGGGAACCCATTTGATTGAGATAGTGCCGGCTTCAACTTCTTGACGAAGCCAGTTATTGTGGATATCGACGTGGCGAAGCTTGGTGCGAAGCTGAGGTTGCTCCTTAGTGAGAAGATCGACGGTTTGCTGATTGTCGCAGTGGATGTCTAGTCCTGATTGATAGTCGAGATTGACTGCGTGAAGTAGCCTTTTCCACCACATAGCTGACTTGCCAGCCTCAGATATAGCTAGCAGCTCGGCTTCAGTTGTCGACGTTGTGACGGTTCGTTGCTTGCTGGCTTTCCAGTCGACTGCTGCTCCAAACAGCTTACAGAGGAAGCCTTCTGAGCTTTTCCGATCAACGTGATCTCCGAATGATGCATCGCTAAAGAAGTGGAGTGCAGACTCCGTGAGAGTTGGATGATACTCGAGAGCAAGGAACCTTGTTTGGTAGAGATACTGGATAAGGCGGTTTGCTGCTTCTCGGTGTTCGGGTCCGGGGTTCGTGAGGAACTCGGCCAAGTGATTTGCTGCTTTGGCAGCATCTGGACGTGTGATGACTGTTGGATAGATGACTGATCCTACCTTCTGCTGGTATTCGTGAATCTGCTCCTTAGTTGCTTGTCCCGTATACCGAGTCATGCGATTGACTGGTAGAG